TTAAAATGGTCACCTGATTATGATCCATCACAAGAACCTCCCACAGTGCCTATTTGGTTTAAGTTACCTAAACTGCCTTTGCATTTATTTAAACTAAATGCATTGTTCAATATTGGGTGCACCTTGGGTACACCCTTGAAGGTTGATGCTACTACTTTTAATAAGGCCAGACCAGCCAGTGCAAGAATCTTAGTGGAAAAGGATGTTACCCTCCCTTATGTTAAGAGAATTTGGATTGGGGGCACTCAGAGAGGGTTCTGGCAAGAAGTCATCATGGAGCAACGACCACACTACTGCCAACATTGCAAAATGTTTGGACATAACAGAGAGAGATGCTAGAGGTTGAAACCCCCCATTAGAAGGACTTACCACCAACCTCAACAGGAGTTGGAGGCTGTCACTAACAATATTCAGGATTTTGGAAATAAAGAAGTGCAAAAGAAGACCTTGCTTGCTGAAGGGACTGAGAAGTCTCCCACCCAACACGACTCACCCTGTGTGGAAAAGACAGTTGGCCAAACACCTACAAAGGATAAGGAACTGGAGATCCAACCAGAGGCTGAGTCAGTGAGGGAGGTGTTAACCTCCCCACCTCCCAGAAATGTAAAGAATCCAGTGGTGGATTCAATGGTGGAACCTCCTAGTCAGATACTAGTAGAAGATATGAAGAAAGAGTTGGAGTCAGATCGGCAAATTCAAAAAGCTAAGAAGAAAAAGAACTATAAACCTGAAGGACAAGATCTTGGAAAAGGCAAGGAGCTTCAGAGTTTGGAGGTTCATACTAATCAGACAAAATTGGGATCTAGCAAAAATAGAGGGAGGACTAGGTCCAGGTCCCAACCTTACTCCTCTCCCCCATCCCCATGATTAATATGTTATGTTGGAACATTAGGGGGATTGCCCACCCCTATCATTGAAAAGACTTAAATACCTGAATAAGAAACATAAACTTTGGTGTTTTGCCATTTTGGAACCCATGGTTCATCTCAACACTTTGAAAATTGCTAAAGCCTTCCCTGGCTTCAATTTGTTCACTAACATCAGCAACAAAATTTGGGGTTTTTATAGGAAATAAATGCATTGCTCTATCCTACTTAACCATACCCAAATCTTACATATTAATCTCAGATTTATGGATAAGGAAGTTTTTGCTTCTTTTGTCTATGCTGGCTATTCTAAAGCAGCTAGAATTGAGCTGTGGGAATCCCTGCAGCTCATCCAAGGTTCTATTGATAAGGCCTGGCTGGTGGGAGGAGACTTCAATTATATTTCCTCGCCTGCTGAAAGGAAGGGGGGCAGACCTCCCAATCCCACCAATATATCATACTTCAATGATAATATCCAAAAAGCTGGGCTTTTTGATCTGGGGTTTTGTGGTCCTACCTTTACTTGGAGAAGGAAGGATTTGTGGGAAAGGCTGGATAGAGTCCTTGCTAATGACAATTGGATCCAACAGTTCTTGCAGACATTTGTTACCCATCTAAGCCTTGCTGGCTCTGACCACAGACCTTTACTGATGACTATTGGGAACAAGATGACTAACCATAAAAGCTCCTTCAGATATTTGAATGTGTGGTCTCAACACTTAACTTTCTTGAATATTATTAAATAATATTGGAAGAAAGACATTCACCCTGACCCCTTCATCAACGTTTTGCTTAATCAGAAGAGGGTAGCTAAAGCCCTTAAGCAGTGGAGCTGGACAACCTTTGGAGACCTCCTACAGATTGTTGATAAGGCTGAAAAGGAGGTAACTGAGCTGGAGGAGGAGCATAGCAAAGGAAGAATTGATGAGGCCGTTCTCCTTGAGGCTAATGAGAGACTCTTAAATGCTATCCAGTGGCAGGACCATTTCCTTCAACAAAAGGCTGCAAAAACAAAATTTGCTGAAGGAGATAGGAACACTAAATTCTACCATGCTTGCATCAAATATGAAAAAAAATGTAACACTATCCACCCTATCAAGAATCAGAATGGTACTTGGCTCAGGCAGGAAGAGGAAATTGCTGAAAGTGTTGTGCAGTATTGCCACAGCCTTATGAATGGGACCATCAGTGATAGGGAGCAAATTGACAGCAATTTGTTTACAGCAGCAAGAAGTCCACTGCTAAGCTGCACCTAAATGATATTCCTGATGAGGAGGAGATAAAATCTGCTTTGAATTCTATTGACAGTTCTAAATCTGCTAAACCTGATGGGTTTACATCAGACTTATATAAGAAGGCTTGGGAAGTCATCAAGGAAGAGGTGATCAAAGCTATCCAACATTTTTTCAAAGGAAACTCACTCCCTAACTATTTTAGTACCTCTACTATTGTCTTTATCCCAAAGACCTCTATCAAGGACAGCTGGAAGTAGTACAGAACTTTGAGTTTAAATAATGTCATAAGTAAGACCATAAGTAAAATCATTGTTCACAGGCTTCAGCCTGTCTTACCTCATCTTGTCAGCATCAACCAAGCTGCCTTTGTTAAAGGCAGAAATATTGGGGATAACATTCTTCTGGCTCAAGAACTTCTGCAGGATTTGGAGAAACCTTGCAGAGGGGGAAATGCTATCTTCAAGCTTGATCTGATGAAGGCTTATGATATGGTTAACTGAGATTTCATCATTGAATTTCTGGAGGCTAAAGGCTTTTCTATGGAATGCCACAAGATGATTAAAAGATGGCTTGAGGATAATATTAACTCAATTTTTATAAATGGTAAAGCTCATGGTTTCTTTAAAGCTACCAGAGGGCTTAAAATAGGGGATTCTTTGTCCCCCACCATTTTCATACTGGTTTTGGACTACTTCTCTAGACAGATGGAATGCAAGGAGAATAGGAAAAGCTTCAACTCTTACCACGATAGAGCCAGGATGGACATCAGCCACCTGATCTATGCTGATGACATCCTGCTGTTCACTAGGGCTTCTAAGCCTGCTACCAAGTGTATTATGGAGTGCCTTCAACATTTCCAACAGGTGTCTGGGCTACAGGTAAACAAGGAAATTGTGAGATTCTGATTAGCAAAAAAAAAAGTCTACCAATCAAGCAATGGATGCATCCTTAAACTGGTTTCTCTAGTTTGAGCCTCCCCTTCAAATACTTGGGGATCCATCTTACCAGAGGAAGAACAAAATTGATCCAATTTGATGAGGTTATTGATAAGATAACCTCTACTCTTCAGGGGTAGTCTAACTCCTTTTTGTCCAATGTTGGCAAGATCACCCTATTGAAGAGTATTCTTACCTCTATCCCTTTGTATGCTCTCCAAGTGGCAACAATGAAAAGAAGCACATCTTTGCTGCTGGAAAAAACCTTCAACAGATTTTTGTGGGCTGAGAACAGAAAACAAGTGGCTTGGGCTAGTTAGCAAAAAGTGGCTAAACCATGGGAGGCAGGTGGTTTAGGTTTTAAAGGTTTCCACCAGATGCAACACATTAGCCTGTGTAAGCTGTGGATTAAATTCAGACAAAATGAAAGCTTATGGGCCAATTTCATGCAGGCCAAATACTCTAAGTCTGTACACTCTGGGGAGGTCAATAGGAAGGTGGGAGACTCCAGAATTTGGGCTCAAATGCTTAAGGCCAGAGAAGACATTGATAAGCTGCTAAGATGGGAGTTGGGACAAGGGAATATTAACTTCTGGAAAGACAACTGGTGTGATAATGACTGTTTAGAACCTTTGCAGGATGAAAAGGAGGGTAATTTATTAGTCAAGGACTGTTGGGTTGGCAATGCCTGGTCTGAGGACTTCTTGAGGGGCTTACTGAAGGAGCAGTCTGTCAGCTACATCTCGACTATCCAATTTGACTGAAATAATAAGGACAAACTCAACTGCTGAATAGGACTAGAGATAGCATCTCAAAAGATATCCAGAAGTATCTGTACAGATGGGAAACTTACCAAAGGAATATTTCCTCTCGTCAAAAACACCTCACCCCCTCCATGTTGTTCTTTGCTTGGAGAGTACTTAATAACCTTCTCCCCACTGATGATACTCTGGAACTTAAGGGCCTGAAAGGCCCTTCTAGATGCCATCTATGCAACCTAGATCAGGACACCAGAGATCATCTTTTCTTCAGGTGCAACTTTGCCAAGGAGGTTTGGAGTAGATTAACTTCCCATATGAACATCAACCTGATTAACATTGGGTGGGAAAACATTACTGACTGCACCAAAGACTGGAAAGGGATAAACCTAATGCTAATTCCTTTCGTTGTTGCTTGGTTTATTTGGATGGTTGGAAACATGGCCAAACATGAGAATAGGGATGCCAGTGCTACATGGGTGATGTCTAATTGCTGGGCTTACCTAAACAAGCTAATTCACTGGAGGAAGTTCCCCATGATCCTGCAGACCACTTACATGGGTGCTAATCACACTAAAATTATCAAGGTGAGATGGGAGATACCTCCTTATCCTTTCATTAAAATTAACACTGATGAAAGCTACACAAACAAGAGAGCAGGTATTGGGGGTATTTTCATAGACCACAAAGGGAAGACTTTGTTGTTCTACAAGGCCCCTTACATAGCTGATGATACTTTAGAAACTGAAGCTGCTGCTCTATTTTAGGCTTTAAATTTTGCTAAGAGGAATAATTGGCAGTGGATTGTTGCTGAAGTGGACTCCTCCCTGCTGGTGGAGTTACTTAATTCTAAGATGTCTTCCTCTTGGCATATCAATCAATGGATCCACAGAATTAAAAAGCCCAGCACTGAAAGTAAGATTCATTTTTCATTTGTGTATAATGAAGCTAATAGAACTGCAAATTTCCTAGCTATGGAAGGAGCTAATGCTGATCATCCTGATGTGTCCAAAACCCTCTCTCCCTCCCTAAACTTACTAACTCAGGAAGACAAGCTTCAAATTCCTTACCTCAGAGTGCAAAAATGATTGTTGGGATTGTGTTTTTTGGCCTTGAGCAGTCTTGTCCTATGGCCAAGTTTGTGCCACCTCTTGCTTTTGGGAGCTCAAATGTTTAGTTTTGCTAGGGGGTTGTTTTGTAAATATATATATATATATACAATGTTTTGTTTTCTCACTTCTGTTTTGAGTTAAGTCTGTTTGTGTATGGGTCACCCTTATGAGTGAGTTTTATGTTCATTTTGGTTTTTTTAGATAGGGGACCCTCTCCAAATCTTGTATTTATTTTCTTTTGGATCAACATGCAAGGAGCCGAATAATGCTCCTTTCCCATATATATATATATATATTTATTATTTTTATTTTTATTTTTTTGTATAAGGAGCCAAGCTCCAATTCATTTATAATAAAAAACCAGTTACATAAAGGAGAAGAGGGCCTATAAAAGGAGGTAGCCTCTCAAAATATCAAAAACGAAGCTATCTAATATAGGGAAGAGACAAAAGATCACTGAACAATAGGAAGGCCAGTGGGAGGAATCTTTTTGGCTCACCAATGGGATTTCAGTGTGAAGACCCCTTCTAGCCAGCCAATTGGATGGTTTATTACCTTCTCTATGTATATGAGTGAAAATTATGGAGTAATTCTTCGGCAAAAGATGAATCTCAGAAATCCAGCAGATTAAGTTTCAGGGAATGTCACAAGAACCCTTGATAATCTTGATAAGCAACAAGGAATCAGATTCAACCCACAGCTGGTTAAAGTGTTAAAGTTGCAAGTTAAAGTTGCAAGTTCTGGCAAAATAGAGAGCCCAAAAAATAGCTTGACATTCAGCCTCAAGAGGATCAACAACCATAACAAGATACTGAAAATATAAGATACACCTCCCCTCATGATTTCTGAAGACACCACCAATACTAAGACACCACCAATACTACACCACCAATACTTGCATAATGTGACTTGTAGCTACCATCTGTATTAACTTTTATCCAGCCATACTTGGGAAGAGACCAGAAAATTATCAAGACTTTAGTATTAGAAGGTTTAGAAGAGGGGGCTAGCTCCAATACAGCTCCAAACTTTTTGAGTTTAATCAATTTTTGCACATAGGAAATGCAATTTAGGCCCACTTTCATAGGCTCTAAGGGAGTAGCATCATACTTCAGATGATTTTTAGCCACCAGACAAACCAAGTCACAATATTGGGGATATCTTGAAGTTTTGTACCCCTCCAATCAGACCAGCAATTATAGAAAACATCCCAAGAAAGATTCATGGTTGGAAAATTCAGCTTTTCAAGCACAATATTCCAAATTTTCTGTACCCAAGGGTAGGCAAAGAAAAGGTGAGTAAGAGTTTCCTCCTGATTCAGACAAAAAATACATCTAGAGGGTCCTCTAAGGCCCTTCAATTTCAAGATATCATCAGTGGGAATCTGCTTTAAGAAGAGTCTCCAAACGAAAAAGGACATGGAAGGAGTAAGAAATTTGTTCCAAATTATATGTCCCCAATCCACTACCTGATGGGGAGGGGGAGATGGAGGTATGTTCTTTTTTATTACAATTCTATCCTTTTTTCCATGTTTAATAGAGAGTTTCAGAATATTAGAGATTTGAGAGGGGTTGCAGAATGGAAGGATAGGATTAAGATTCCACTTATCATGCTCCCATAGATCCTTAACATACTTGGGGAAGGCTAGAGCATTTTGATCATGAAGTAGGCTGCCTTCCAAAGACCAACTATCCCATCATATGTTTACCCAACCATCACCAATCTCCCAGACAAACATTTGTTCAGCATCCTCCCTAATCTGTAACATCTTTTCCAAATAAGAGAGTCCCCCAATCCCACAGATAATTTGGTAGGATGTTGGTGCTTATAGTATTTACCCCATAAGAATTTAGCCCAAAGGGAGGCCTAGGATCTGAATTCAATCTAGAGTTTACAAAGGTTAGTGTGCATTATTTGAGGAAAGAACTTGAAGCCTAACCCTCCTTCCATTAAAGGTTTACAAACCTTAACCCAATTGGTCCAGTGTTTTTGCTTCCTTTGACCAGCCCACAGAAATCTATTGAACATACCTTCCAATAATATTTGAGTAGCCTTTTTCATAACATTCATTTGTAGAAAATAAGATGGAATGGCAGCTAGAACACTTTTCAGGAGGGCTATCCTACCCCCATTGGATAAGTAAGAATTCTCCCATGCTTGCAATTTGCTTTGAATCTTCTCTAGAATATGATCAAACTGAAAATTTTTATTTCTCCCTTTGATAAGAAACACCCCTAGATATTTCATAGGAAGTTGGCTATTGGTAAAGCCAGTGAAGTTAGAAACCTAGTTCTTAAACTCACTCTTGCATTGTTTGCTGAAAACAGAAATGCACTTCTAGCCATTCAACTTCATTCCAGAAACATCCTAGAAATTCTCCATGCACTGCAAGAATAATCTAGTAGCAGGTTTGGAAGCTTTGGAAAATATAATACTATCATCAGCAAAATCCAAATGGTTAATTAAAATGGAAGATCTATTACTATAAAGGGAGTGGGGTTTCTTGGATGCCATATCATTCAAAACTCTGAATAAGTAGTCAAAAACCAAAATAAATATGGTAGTGGATAGTGGGTCACCTTGTTTAATACCTCTGGATGCACTAAAAAACCCATGTGAAGTTCCATTAATAAAGATTGAATGAAAATTATTAGCTTGCCATCTAATGATTAGAGAGAGAAAAGAAGGGGGAAAACCTCTGGCAACGAGAACCTGTTCAATAAATTTCCAACTGATTGTGTCATAAGCTTTTCTGATATCCAACTTGAGAATTAAATTCTCTCCTCTAGTGATCCTGTCCAGATCTAGTACCAACTCTTGGGCCAAAAGAACATTATCTACAATGCTTCTACCCTTGATAAAGGTTGTCTGATTCCTACAGATAATTTGATTCAAATGAGGTTGTAATCTATGGACCAAAACTTTGCTTATAATCTTTGAAATAACAGAAGTAAGGCTAATAAGTCTAAAATTTTCCCATTTGTGAGGAGTTTTCTCTTTGGGAACCAAAGTAATAGTAGAGGAGTAGAAATATTTGAGGAGATCAACACCATAGAAAAAGCTTTGGACTGTTGCAATGACATCACCCTTCACAATCAGCCAGGCCTTTTTATAAGAGTCTGCTATGAACCCATCTGGTCCAGCTACTTTTATGCTGTCAATAGAATTCAGTGTTTCCCATATTTCCTTTTCATCAGGAATATCAGTGAGAGAGAGGCTTTCTGGTGAACTCCCTTTCCTTATCAAATAAGGTGTATTGAATGGCAGGTTGAGAGGGAGGAGTTTGTTTGAAAATATTTTGAAAGTATTGAACAATATTACCAGCTATGCCATCAGCAGTAGTAATCCAGTGACCCTCCCGAGAAGTGTTGCATTTCCTCCTATAGTTGATGCAAGCATGGTAATATTTATAATTTCTATCCCCATCACAAAATTTCATTCTATTGGCCATTTGAGCATAAAACTCCTCTTGCATATTGATCGCATCTAGTAATTTTTTAATAGCAGAATGAAGCTCAATTTCATACCCCTAACCAAAGGCAATGAGTTGTTCTATTTTTAGTACCTTCTTTTCAACCTCTAGGACCTTGCTATCCATTTTCCCTACCACTTCTGAATTCCATTTAGAAAGATGCTTACTGACTTTTTTATGTAATAGCCATAGTTTGATACCAGGAATGTGATGGTGAACATCAACCCATGCCAGAGAGACTTGGTTTAAAAAATCCCCATGCATGGACCACATATTTAGATATCTAAAATTGGCTTTACTTTTAGTAGTGTTGGCAAATATATGAATAAGTAAAGGTCTATGGTCAGACCCTCTCATAGCCAGGTGTTGGAAAGATGTGTGAAGGAAATCTCTGAACCAAATGTCATTCACCAAAACTCTATCTAGCCTCTCCCATATCCTCCCCCTTCTCCATGTGTTCTTAGGACCAGTAAATACCAAATCATATAGTCCAGCAGACTGGATATTGTCATTGGAAAAGTTCATAAGGCTAATATCAGAAGATATCCCACCCTTCTTCTCATTAGGTGAAGAGAGGCAATTGAAATCACCCCCAACTAACCATAAATCCCTTATAGAACTGCTGAATTCTTGTAACTGTTGCAAGAGTTCTTGTTTAGCAGTGGAGGTACAGCCAGCATATATAAAAGTAGCAAAGCCATTATAGTTATTTAAGTTAATTTTAAGTGAATAAATTGGTCTCCCACTTTGAGAACTGTACACTGAATCTCCTACCTACAGAATAGCCAAATTTTATTGTTAGTGTTAACAAATAGTTGAAATCCAGGGAACTTCCTCAAAATTTTGTTGACATGTTTAGATATCATAGGTTCAAATATTATAATGATTCAAGGTTTATACATCCTATTAAGAGCCAGAATTCTATTAAGGGATCTAGGATGTGCTAATCCCCTAGCATTCCAACAGATTAAATTCATTAACCAAATGAGGTGGACTTTCCTCTGCTCCTAGTCCTAACAGTGCTAGAAGTGAGAGAGAGGTCTTCCTCCAAAGATGAAGAAGAAGGAAGGATATTCTTTAGTTCCAAGGCAATTTTCTTCTTTTTTATTTATGAATTTGACATCCCTCTTCTAAATTTTTAGCCATTTGTAATAGTAAAGGATCTTCCTCTGGAATATCAATA